GCTGAACGGACAACCACCCGATGATAACTGTGAAATTTGCCTCCTTTCAAAGTTCACCCGTTTCCCCTTCCATAGTGTGGCTGGCAGGAGCAAAAAGCCGTTGGAGCTGGTCCACATGGACTTGGTGGGGCCACTGCCGGTGCAAGGGCACAAGTGGGAACGGTACTTCCTAACCATAGTGGATGACTGGAGCAGGCTAATGTGGGCGTATCCGCTGAAGCAGAAAGATCACGCCGCCTCCACGATTCGGGATGATTGGCTGCCGTTCGTGGAGAAGCAAGCGGAGTGTGTGGTGAAGCGGATTAGGACAGATCGGGGTGGTGAGTTCCTTGGAGCTGAGATGACGGCCTGGCTCAAGAAGCAGGGCATCCAGAGGGAGCTGACCACGGCTTACACCCCACAGTCCAACGGTGTAGCAGAACGGGCGAACCGGACAATTCTGGAGACAACTAGGGCGCTGCTCATAGAATCTGGGCTGGGCAACTTGATGTGGCCCCATGCTGTTCGGCACGCTACCGTCGCTAGGAACAGGGTACTCACAAAGGTTGGGGATGACTCGTGGGTGCCGTTGGAGAGGTGGCTTGGGAGGAAGCCGCCGGTGGACATGCTGAGGGTGTTCGGTTGCATGGCAGTTGCCCAAGTCCCCAAGACCTACCGCAGTAAGTTGGGGGCGAGTGCAATCTGGTGTGTGCATTTGGGGCTGTCTGTTGAGAACAAGGGATGGCTGCTGTGGGAGCCTTCCAAGGGTGTGTTGTTTGACAGCAGGGATGTGAAGTTTGTTGAGGGCATGATGTATGGGAGCTGGGAGAAACAGCCGGAGGCCAGAGTGTCCCAACAGATGGAGCAGATCACCATGCAGCTGGACCTGACTCCTAGTGTCTGGGAGGAGGGAGAGGAGGCAGCTGCAGAGGGTGGTGATGAAGAGAAGGTGCAGGAGGCACCTGCTGGTGGAGGTGATGGTGTGGAGACTAGCGGTAGCACTAGTGGAACTGCTGGATCCGAGGGAGGAGAGCAGCAGCAGGAAAAAACTTAGAAGCCGAAGGGTGTCGTTATGAAGGGATGGGAGACACCCGTCTCCAGGCCAGGACGTACCCGTATGGCTACTAAGAAGCTGACTGCAGGAGCTGATGTAGCGGAGCAGCAGCTTGGGACTGAGGAGGCATTGCTGATTCTACCGCATGGCTATGACCCGGATGAGGAGGATGAGCCTGCGTACTGTTTTCTTGCCCCTGCACCAGAGGAACCAGCTAGCATGGAGGAGGAATTAGCTGACCAGATAGGGACAAATAGCTAGCTTCTAGGGATGCTGAGTACCAGAGCCTGCTGGAGAATGGGACTTGGGAACTTGTGGTGCTGCTTGAGGGAAAGAAAGCGGTACAATGCAAGTGGGTGCTAAGGATCAAGACTGACGACAAGGGGCAGGTCACCATCTACAAGAGTAGGTTGGTGGCTAAGGGGTTTATGCAGAAGGAGAAGCGGGACTTCAATGAGATCTTTGCTCCCACTGCCAAACCCCCTACCCTTCGTGTCTTGTTGGCAGATGCAGCCGTTAGTGGGAAGTTCATTATCCAGATGGACATATCAACGGCATTCCTCAACGGGATGTTAGAGGAGGAGGTGTTCATGACGCAGCCGCCTGGGTATGAGGATGGTACGGGCAGGGTGTGCAAGCTGAAAAAGTCCATCTACGGCTTGAAGCAGGCGCCACGCTGCTGGTACCAGAAGTTGGCAGCTGTTTTAGAGGAGATGGGATTCAGGACCAGCAGCTGTGATGAGAGCCTCTTTCTCAAGGGGGAGGGGGATAAGCTGGTGCTGTTTCTGGTCTACGTGGACGACATTCTTCTCTTTAGCAGCAGCATGAAGGAGATCCCGAAGGTACAGCTAATGGAGAACTTCAAGTGCAAGAACCTTGGGGAGGTAAAATACTACCTCGGGAGTCACGTGGAGAGGGATCTCAATCACAGGTGGTTGAAGCTGCACTAGGAGAAGTTCATCAAAGAGTTGGGGGAGAAGTATGGGATTGAGAATGAGCGCAAAGTTGCAACTCCCCTGCCAGCAGAATTCAAGCTTGTGAAAGCTGCAGAGGATGAAGGGGTTGAAGCCGAGGAGCAGCAGCAATTTCAGTCCTTGGCAGGCAGCCTCTTGTATGCAGCAGTTCACACGAGGCCCGACATCTCTTTCTCGGTTGGGCAGCTGGCTAGGGTGGTGCAGAATCCATCAGATGAGCAGGTGGATGCAGCTGAGCGTGTGGTGAAGTATCTGAACTCTCACCCAAGCATTGGAGTTCAATACTCCGTATCTGCACAGGTGAAGCAGAAAGGGGTTGAGGTGCTGAAAGAGAAGGGGGAGAGGCTTGGAGAAGGCAAGCTTTTTCTCACTTGCTTTACCGATGCTACGTGGGCCTCTGAGAAGGAGGATTCCTCATCTGTGGGAGGATACATCTGTGTAGTTGGGGGAGGACCAGTTAGTTGGAGGTCAAAGAAGCAGACTGAGACAGCACTCTCTTCCGTGGAGTCAGAGTACATGGCAATGTTCCACGGGGTGAAGGAGGTGATTTGGCTGAGGAGGTTGTTAGAGGAGATTGGTCTGGAGCAGAAGGTTGCTATGCCGCTGTTTTGTGATAGCAAGGGGGCTCTTGGAATGGCCAGGAACGCTGTGTTTCATGGGCTCAATAAGCACATGCGTATCAAGTGGCACTGGCTGCGTAAGGAGGTGAAGAGGGGGACGGTGAATCCGATCTACATCAAGACTCACCAGCAGCCAGCAGACTTCCTCACCAAGAGGCTTGCGGATGAGCCTCCTTGGCGTTGTGTGCGCATGAGTGGAATAAGCATGAACTAGTATGGAATGATGGGGATGCAGGCGGCAGGCTGAGGGGGAGTGTGTTGGGTGCAAATTCACATTGCACGACATCCTGCCGTCTGTTTGTACGAGTATGCGTGTGCGAATGCATTTGCGTGTGAATGGTATGTTCGTGTGTTTGTTTGCTTTCCCAATTTTCGCTTGAAGAATTTGCAGGTACTCGCACAATGTGCGCTTCGGCATAACATTGTACGCGCTATGAACAGTACAAGCAGAAAGGATGAGGTCGCAAAGGAACCCAAGATGGAAGCTTTGTGGTTCGGCTTACTTGATTGCGCAGATTCAGTTCTATCTAACTCGAAATTGTACTGTTTTGTTTGGTTGACTATAGTGTAGCAGGGCAGGCACTATAGGGGTACAATTTAGGTGAAGGTTAGATGTTGTTTGTCTGTATCTGCATGCTACAGGGCCAGGGGAAACCAGCGGAACCAGCATTTGGCTGGTTGGGCAAAGACAAAACAGGTTCTGTTTTTAGGACCTGAACCTGGTTGTTGTTTTCCCAGGTTGGAAAAACAGAACCAGAGGTTGTTCACCAACCTACCACCTGCTATTTTGTCCAGCAAGGTTGGTTCTGTTGCTTGGAATTTTTTGGGATCATCCCTGGTTGTTCCCAGGTTGATTCCCAAGGTCCTTGCTAGCTAGAGCTATTTATTCCTTCTCTGTTTGTACCTGAATATAGTGAAATTGATTCAAGCGAATTCCTTCCTTGCTGGAATTTCCTTTCTACGCGGTGCGACGGCGGAATGCTACCTGAGTCAACGCTAGTACGCTAGCACTCCAACGCTAGGCAAACGCTGTCTGAGCCATAACTTCGTAATGGCAGAACTTTTCGCGAGGCAACTTGGTTCATTTTAAAGCTCTTGGATATAGTAACTTCTTAGCTTAATTCGATCAACGGTCTTTACGATACGCTGCGCGCCGTTCAAGGTACTCTTGCTGTTTTGACTAAGTCTCTCTCTCTACAAACTCGGACCCGAGGATAGGGGCTAGTCTTGAACCAGGTACCCAAGGACCCTTGGAGGTGACCCCGAGGAGAGGTTTTACGGTTGATAAAGTCTTAATAGCTTGAGTTTATTAGGCCCTTACACCAACACAAACAAGGCGTGTGCAAGCATCGATAAAGGTTAGCGCATACTGCTCGCTGTCAATGAGAAAATGAACGAGAATGAATTGAGAAAGGAAAAGTTGGGTACAACTACAAACCCTAGAAAGCTGTACCCCATATGTGCTACCCCACTATAGCCTACAGTAGCTATGTCATATAAATCTGACACACCCCCATAGGCAAAGTGGGGGAGAACAAGGGGTCACAAGACTAGTCAAGCAAAGCAAAGCAAGCTCAGGGTAGATCACAAAGTCACCACAGATTCCGAGCACAAGTTCAAGGCCACAAGGCCAGTTCACATACAGGATTACATATTTATATGGCTAGACAAGCAAGAGCAGGTGTATATATATATGCAACAGTACAAACAAGGTCAAGGGGTAAGCAAGTGAGGCAAGGTAGGCATAAGGCCCAGCTGAGTACAGAAGCGCTGATGATCACAAGGCGCAAGTGCCTTGGTCAAGACATCAGCAGTGTTGGCCTCAGAGGCCATGTGCGCAAGCCACAGCTGAACAAGCTGCTGTAGCTCACGAGCAAGGAAGTAGCGGAGAGCAATGTGCTTCGTTCTGTGCTCCAGTCTTTGCTCTCGACACAAGGCCAGCATGGCCTTGTTGTCTACGTACAGGACTGGAGGAGAACGAGGCGGCTCTCCGAGGTCAGTCAGCAGGTAGGTGAGCCAGCGAAGCTCCTATGCAGCCATGGCCCCGGCGTAGATCTCAGCCTCACAACTGGAGCCGAGAACTGAAGAAGAGCGAGTAGCCTGCCACGAAACAGAGCCGGAACCAAGGCTGAAGGTGTAACCCTGTCAGGACCGCTGCTTAGCCTGGTCGTCAGCCCAAGAAGCGTCTGCGTGCCCAGTGAGGACCACTGGACTCTGCCCTCCAAGCACAAGCCCCATGCCCGACGTACTGCACAAGTAGCGCAACACCCTCTTCGCTGCAGCCATGTGCTCCGGACCTGGCAAAAGGAAGAGCAATGGCGGGGGGAGGGACGGAGTGCGGTAGGGGAAGAGGCGGTAATAGGGACCGACTCGTCAAACGTGACGTCCACGGCGAGAGGTGGGGTGGTAGAACTGCCACCCTGGCGCGTCAGGGGGGAAGCCAAGGAAGACGCAAGGAGCAGCACGAGGGGACAGCTTGTCCGCAGACAAGTCGCGGACAAACGCCCGAGATCCCCAGACACGGAACGCAGACGCATCGCCAACCTTCCCGGTCCACAGCAAAGCTGGAGAGGTCTCCGGCATGGAGACCCTAGGGTGAAGGTTGATCTGATGCGCCACGTACCAAACCGCAAACGGCCACAGAAAATGGGGGGCAGCCGCATCCATCATGGACGTACGGGCGACGTCCATGACCATGCCAATGCGGCGCTCAGCAATCCCATTTTGCTGTGGAGAGTCCGGAAGCGTGAAGGTCTGGCGGATGCCTCGTGCACGACAGTAGGCTCGCAGAAGGCCAGAGGAGAACTCTCCGCCTCTGTCAGAGTGCAGACGCAGAGCAGGAAAGTCCGAGCCGAAGCTCTGCCTGAGCTGGAGACGAGCTGCGCGGATCCAGTCAATCAACACCTCAGTGACATCACCCTTGTTGCGCAAGGGGAAGACTGTGGTGTAACGCGAGTAGTCGTCAACCACCAGCAGAAAATAGCGCTCGAGACCGTGTCCACGGACGCGGGCCGGGCCCCACACGCCCATGTGAAGCGTCTGCAGCGGGGCCTCTGTCGGAGGAAACTGGGAGGAGTGAGGGGCAGCCCGTTGCCGCCCCTCGACACAGGGGACGCAGGTAGGACCAGGCCCCGGAGGAAGGGGAGGGAGGGACCGGGGAAGACCAGAGACAAGGACACGGGAGGCCATGCCTCGGAGACGAAGGAGGGAGGGGTGACCAAGGCGGTGGTGCCAGAGGAGAGTCTCGTGAGACAGGAGGCGACACGAGCAGGGGGCAGACTCAGAGCCAGACCTGGACGCTGCAGCAAACACCTGACCCGACGCAACTTCCTGACCAGAGGCAGTGACTGGAGGAGACTCAGTGGTCAGTGTGTACAGGCTCGACCCCAGCCGACGTGTAAACGTGAGCAGGTGTCGGCCTGTCTGAGCGTCCGTGTAGTGGGTCACCCGCTAACTCGCAGGAGTGAACTGGTGAACACCCGCATCCTGTAGGTCAGCACCACTCACCAAGGTCGTAGAGAACGAGGGGAGGTAAAGATCAGACAGGGTGCCAGAGTAGGGCTGCCGGACACGAGAGGACAGTGGAGAAGTGAGCAAGGACAGGACCCCCAGAGGGGTCTGCCAGAGAGACTGCAACTGGCCGGCCAAGCGGCGTGAGTGTGGTGCGGTCTCGAAAGAAGGAGCGAGAAGCCCCCGAGTCAAGGGTGAATGTGTGGGAGGCCGAAGCCGACGCAGTACCTGAGAGAGCAGACTCACCAGCACCTAAGGGAGCAGACGCATAAGCACCTAGAGTAGCAGCCTCGCTAGCACCTAGAGCAGCAGCCTCACCAGTACCTAGAGCAGCAGCAAGAATAGCATCAAAGTCAAGGTCAAAGACAGCTACTCCCGCCCTAGACAGCTCGCCCCAGCGGGGGATCTCAGTGGCCTCAGGGAATTGTTGACGCCAAGCGTCCGTCATGCGGCCAAAGCAGCGTTGGGTGGAGTGCGCACCCCCGCACTACTCACCCTCGCGGTCGTCGGTGCGTAGGACGTAGGTGCACGGACCAGTACCCCCACCCCGCTGGCGTGCAGAGTACCACTTACGGAGCTGCAGAGGGGGGGGGGGATGTCACGAGTGCGCTGCTGCTGCTGCTGCTGGCGCTGACCACCACTGGAGCCGACCCTCTGCGCAGCGCCACCCCGACCAGCTCCACCTCCTCCGCCGCCGCCTCCTCTACCGCCGCCACCTCCGCCACCTCCGCTCCCACCGCCACCGCCGCTGCCGCCTCCGCCTCCACTGCCGCCACCGACATCTCCACCCACGCCACCACCCCCACCGCCACCCCCACCCCCTCCGCCGCCTCCACCGCCGCCTCCACCGCCCCTGCTAGCTCCTCCAGCGCCCGTGCCCCCCTTGCCCTTGCCAGGGCGGCGTCTCCCGCTAGGGGTAGACGCCGCACCGACCGACTCAAGACCAACGAGGTCGGCCGCAGCAGCAGAGGCAACAGAGGGCAAAAGGGGGGAGGGGGAACACCCCTCAAAGATGGGGGTGCGAGGGTCACCATGAGAGGGTCCTACAGCAACTATGCTCTTCTCTACTGCTAGGAGGGCCTTTTGAGGAGGTCAACGGTGAGAGTGGTGGGGCAAACTGAGAGGAAGTGGTCCCTGACTATGCGAAGGGAGTCAGGGAGCCGGGTGACTATGTAGTAGAGGGTGATGTACATGGGGGGGGGGGGGGGGGGGGTTCTTGGCGCAGAGCTCAGCAGGAAGTGCAGCGCGGTAGCGAGTGTCACTAGTGCGGAGGTGCGTAATGAGGTCAGCGACTGTGGGAAAGGCAGCAAGGTTAGGGAAGAGGTACGGTAGCATGAGGCGGCTCAGTGCAGCAGTGGCAGGGGAGGAGTAGCGTGCAACTACAACGTCGTACAGGGTCTGAGCACTCTTGTACTGGCTAAAGTGCGCACGCTCAGAGGTAGGCAGGTGGCGACGCACAGCAAGATGTGCAGCAGCATCGCGTGTGGCCCACTGTGAGCGAACAGTGGCGTCGGCATCAGCAGCAGGGGCAGGAGAGGCACTAGATGTGAGGTCAAAGAGGGAGAGACCGTCTGCCCTATCACACTGTAGGAAAAGCTGCAGGTCGTCTACCCAGACGTCAAAGTCAATGGCCCGACCCTCAGCATAAAATGCGAGGACACTAGGGTTAGCCAGGACAGCAGTAGACTAGCAGCGCGAACAGTAGGGTAAGGGCAGTGCAGTGACAAAGGCGCTGCTCTTACCGGACAGGGCGGCTCGGGCGGCTCGGCGGCTCGGCAACTCGGCGGCTCGGGCTGCTCGGGCGGCTCGGCGGTACGGCGGCTCGGCAGCAACTGCGGCTCGGCGACTCGGCGGCTCGGGCGGCTCGGGCGGCTCGGCGGTACGGCGGCTCGGTAGCAACTGCAGCTCGGCGGCTCGGCTACCCGGCGGCTCGGGCGGCTTAGGTGGCGCGGCGGCTCGGGCGGCTCAGGTGGCGCGGCGGCTCGGGCGGCTCAGGTGGATCGGGCGGCTCGGCAGCAGCTCAGCGGCGCCGGGGGCTCAGTGGTGACGGCGGGGCCGCGTGGGGACGGCGGTTGGGCCGGGTGGAGCAGCGTCGGGGCCGGGTGGAGCAGCGTCAGGGCCAGTAGAGGCGGCGCTGGGGCCGGGAAGGGCAGCTCCGGGGCCGCAGGGGTAGGCGAAGGGGCCAGCAGAGGCGGCGCCGAGGCAGGGAAGGGCGGCGCCGCGGCCGCAGGGGTAGGCGACGGGGCCGCTAGGGCGGCTAGGAGGGGGGGGTCGCGAGGGCGGCTTGTAAGGCCGCGAGGGCGGCACGAAAGGGCCGCGAGGGCGGCGCGAAAGGGCCGCGAGGGCGGCGCGACGCGATGGAGCCGCGAGGGCGGCGGATCGGGGCCGCGAGGGCGGCGCGACGCGGCCGCTAGGGGAAGACTGTGGTGTAACGCGAGTAGTCGTCAACGACCAACAGGAAGTAACGCTCGTGACCGAGTCCACGGACGCGGGCAGGGCCCCACACGTCCATGTGAAGCGTCTGCAGCGGGGCCTCTGTCAGAGGAAACTGGGAGGAGTGAGGGGCAGCACGCTAGCACCCCTCGACACAGGGGACATAGGCAGGGCCAGGGCCCTGAGGGAGGGGGGGGAGGGACCGGGAGAGACCAGACACAAGAAGACGGGAGGCCATGCCTCTGAGCCGAAGCAGAGAGGGGTGACCAAGGCGGTGGTGCCAAAGGAGAGTCTCGTGAGACAGGCGACGACACGAACAGGGGGCAGACTCAGGACCAGACCTGGACGCTGCAGCAAACACCTGACCAGACGCAGGGACCCTACCAGACTCAGCAACTGGAGGAGAAGCAATGGTCAGTGTGTACAGGCTCGACCCTGGCTGACGCGTCAACGTAGCCAGGTGGCGACCTGTGCTAGCCTCTGTGCAGTGCGTCACCCGCTGACGAGCAGGAGTGAACTGGTGGACACCCGCATCCTGTAGGTCAGCACCACTCACCAGGTTCATAGAGAACGAGGGGAGGTAGAGACCACACATGGTGCCAGAGGGAGCCGCCAGACACGGGAGGACTGTGGAGAAGCGAGACAGGACAGGACCCCCAGAGGGGTCAGCCAGGGACACCGCAACCGGCCGACTAAGCGGCGTGAGTGTGGTGCGGTCCCGAAAGAAGGAGCGAGACGCTCCAGAGTCAAGGGTGAAGGTGTGGGAGGCCGAAGCCAACGCAGTACCTGAGAGCGCAGACTCACTAGTACCTGAGAGCGCAGCCTCACCAGTACCTGAGGGCACAGATGCACTGGCACCTTGAGCAGTAGCCTCACTGGCACCTAGAGCAACAGTACCAATGCCCGGGTCGGGCGGGAAACACCGGTAACAGTCACCCTCATCACTAATAGTCACAGCATACATGGCAGCAAGGATAGCATCAAAGTCAAGATCAAAGATAGCTACACCAGCCCTAGACAGCTCTCCCCAACGAGGGATCTCAGTGGCCTCCGGGAACTGCTGGCGCCAAGCGTCCGTCAGGCGGCCAAAGCAGCGCTGGGCGGTGTGGGCACCCCCACACTGCTCACCCGCGCGGTCGCCAGTGCGAAGGACGTAGGTGCAGGGACCAAAACCCCCACCACGCTGACGCTGCGTGTACCACTCACGGAGCTGCTGAGGGGTTGGGACGTCGCGAGAATGCAGCTGCTGCTGCTGGTGCTGCTGCTGGCGCTGACCACCCCCAGTGCTGCTCCGCTGCGACGCGCCACTCCGACCACCTCCACCACCTCCACCTCCGCCTCCTCCACCTCCGCCACCACCGCCGCCCCCGCCAGTAACGCCGCCGCCTCCGCCGCCTCCGCCTCCACTCCCGCCACTAGTACCCCCACCCCCGCCACCACCTCCACCGCCACCCCCACTCCCTCCGCCGCCTCCACCTCCACCGCCACCGCCCCCGCTAGCTCCACCCGCGCCCTTGCCCCCATTGCCTTTGCCAGAGCGGCGTCTCCCGCTAGGGGCAGACGCCGCACTGACCGACTCAAGACCAACGAGGTCGGCCGCAGCGGCAGAGGCGACAGAGGGCAACAGGGGGGAAGGAGAACACCCCTCAAAGATGGGGGTGCGAGGGTCACCACGAGAGGCCCCTACAGCCACTATGCTCTTCTCTGCCGCTAGGAGGGACTTCTCGAGGAGGTCTACAGTGAGTGTGGTGGGACAGACTGAGAGGAAGTGGTCCCTGACTACACGAAGGGAGTCAGGGAGACGAGTGACTATGAAATAGAGAGTGATGTACATGGGGGGGGGGTTCTTGGCGCAGAAGTCAGCAGGGAGCGCAGCGCGGTAGCGAGTGTCGCTAATGCGGAGGTGCGTAATGAGGTCAGCGACTGTGGGAAAGGCAGCAAGGTCAGGGAAGAGGAAGGGGAGAATGAGGCGACTCAGTGCAGCAGTGGCTGGGGAGGAGTAGCGCGCAACTACAGCGTCGTACAAGGTTTGTGCGTGTACTGACTAAAGTGCGCGCGCTCAGCGGTAGGCAGGTGGCGACGCACAGCAAGACGTGCAGCAGCATCGCGTGTGGCCCACTGGGAGCGAACAGTGGGGTCAGCATCAGCAGCAGGGGCAGGGACGGCGCCAGAGGTGAGGTCAAAGAGAGAAAGACCGTCTGCCCTATCGCACTGTAAGAACAACTGCAGGTCGTCGACCCAGACCTCAAAGTCAATGGCGCGACCCTCAGCGTCAAAAGCTAGGACACTAGGGGTAGCCATGACAGCAGTCGACAGTCTCACCAGACAGGACGGGTCGGGCAGCTCAGCAGCACAGCAACACGGCAACACGGCAGCTCGGCCGGCCCAGCAGCAACAGCAGCTTCGCGGGACCAGCGGCTCGGCTCCTCAGGTGACTCGGGCGGCTCGGGCGGTGCAGGCGGCTCGGGCGGCTCGGGCGACTCGGGCGGCTCGGGCGGCTCGGGCGGCTCGAGCACTCAGCGGTACAGGCGGCTCGGGCGGCTCGGCTCCTCAGCGACGCAGGCGGCTCGGGCGGCTCGGGTGACGCAGGTGGCACGGGCGGCTCGGGTGGCTGGGTGTCACAGCGGCGTACGGGCGGGGTGGGGCCGGGACGGCGGCGTGCGGCCGGGACGGGTGGCGCACGGGCGGTGTGGGGCCGGGACGGCGGCGCGCGGCTGGGACGGGTGGCGCACGGGCGGCGTGGGGCCGGGACAGCGGCACGCGGCCGGGACGGGTGGCGCACGGGCGGCTGGGAGCGGGGCAGGGACGGGTGACCCACGGGCTGCTTGGGGCCGGGACGGTGGCGAGGGGCCAGAATGGGCGGCGCACGGGCGACGAGGGGCCGGGACGGCTGTGCGCGGCCGGGACGGGTGGCGCACGGGTGGCGTGGGGCTGGGACGGGTGGCGCACGGCGTCGATGGGCCGGGAAGGGCGGCGCACAGGCGCCTAAGGGTGGCGCGACGGCGGCGTGGGGCCTGACGGGCGGCGCGCGGGCGTCTAGGGGCCGAGACGGGCGTCGCGCGGGCGTCTAAGGGCGGCGCGCTGGCGGCGTGGGGCCTGGACGGGCGGTGCGCGGGCTTCTAGGGGCCAAGACGGGCGGCGCGCGGGCGTCTAAGGGCGGCGCGTGGGCGTCTAGGGGCCGGGACAGGCGGCGCGCGGGAGTCTAAGGGCGGCGCGCGGCTGCTAGGGACCGTTAGGGCAGGTCGACAAAATGAGAGAGAGGGCCCGGAGCACGCTCCGGGCAGAAAAAAAAAAGTTCGATGTGGTGGGCCCTAAGCACAGTTCCCACGGGGGAACCTGCTCGATACCATGAGAAAAATAGAACGAGGATGGATCAACTATGAATGAAGTGAGTACATATAGGAAACCCAGATTGGGTTGTACCCCTTATGGGATACCCCACTATAGCCTACACAAATATATAAGCTATAATGTTCTGACACGGCGCGACGGGAAGGGTCCGCGAGCGCGACGCGACAGGGCCGAAGGGGCGACGCGACGGGGCCGCTAAGGCGGCGCGACAGGGTCGAGAGAGGGGAGCGCGACTTGTTGGGTGCAAATT